GAAAACATGATTTAATTGGGTGAACAGATACTATTTTTTTCATTACCATCATCCCCTCTTCCTATTCTTTAGGGCTAGATTTGTAATTTGTGCTTTTTTCTCTGGGTTATTCAGAAAAGTTCAGAAATCACTGGCAGACATAGAAAAGCTACATTCCACTGGGTTGGGAGAGTATCTACATATACCCACAGTTGTTGGGCAAACTCATCAGAACAAGGTTCAATCTTCTAACCTGGAGAGTTTTGTCGTAGTTGTTGAAGTCTTTGCTCTTAATTAGTTGTCTGGCAATTTTAACTCAGGTCTTAAAGAGTCAGCTATTTGTGGACAAGTTTTCTGAGAACATCCAGCACACGTTCCTGGATTACTTGACTGGTGGATATGAACTGAACTTCATGGTGGCGATTGATTTTACTGGTATTTATTTTTTGCATATCTCCTCCTTTATATGTTTGGACTGGTGTCAACTGAATTTTATGCTATGAGCACCCTTCGTCATTGGGACCAATACTTTATAATGCCTTCAACGTTTTCGCAGTCATTAATTGTGGCTATTTTTATTGTTCCTGCTTGATCTTGTTTGGTTCTCTTCATTTAACATTCCTTAGAACCATTTTCACCTGATTTTTCCTTTTTTTATCAGCTTCAAATGGGAATCCTCGCCTACCTGATTCATTGCATTATATTGACCCTTCGGGAAGGCCGAACGCATACCAGCGAGTGAGAAACTGCTCTCGCCTGTGAATATGTTACAAATTCCAGTAATATTAGAATGACCTAACTCTGGTCCTTGTATGTTAGGCAATTTTAGAGGTTGGAGAGGTATTGCAATTTTATGACTCAGATAAGCACTTCCCTGCTTGGGGATTTGGAGCACGGCCAATTGATGGTCCAGTCTCACACTGTTTTAATTTAAATGGAAGCAGTAATAACTTTGAGGTAAAGCTGTCACAGCATACATTAGTCTCAGCAAATTTAGATGTGGCTTTGGTTATTTGGTGCACCTTACTCTTCATATTACTGTTTCCAGAATGTATTTCATGAAGCCGTGTTTCTTTTTTCTCCCAGGTTGAAGGAATCCCAGGAATTATGATGGCATACGCAAGTGCTCTTTTTAATGTTTCATTGGCTGGACCAACCCTTTTTGGACCTGTGATTAGCACTGCTGCTCTGATAGCCAGCCAGTCTGTTGCAAACGATCAACGGAAGTACTTCGTTTTGTTAATAATCACGGTAAGTGTTGAATTTGCATTGTGACACAATTTTTCATTTTTATTTTTGATATCTGAATTCTCCGGACTTGAACATCCCACGGGTGATGTGTGGTGTGTGTGTGTCACAGAGAGTAAATTTATAGTGTTATTGTCCTTTTCCTCTTAATGATGTGCACTCTCTGGGAGAACACCATAGATGCTACACATTTTTCTGAATTGCTATGTTTATGTGTCCTTGTTATAACTATATACTATGTTTCTATCAAATCTCATTCTATTAGAAAATGTTAGGATGGTGTGATAACAGATCTCCAAGAAACAAAAGATGCCCTTGTGAAGGCATCAGACCTGCCATTGTCCATCCTTATTGTTGGAGTTGGAGGAGCTGACTTTAAAGAGATGGAGGTATCCTGCTCTATTCATTCCCGTTTCTTGAATAGTGTCCAATTGTCCTCCTACTTTTTCAAACAAACTCGGCAATGTTGTCTTTCTAAACGTCTCCACTTCCTGGTATTGTGATTATTATTCTGCAGATTCTAGATGCAGACAAAGGAGAAAGACTTGAAAGTTCAAGTGGGCGTGTTGCATCGCGTGATATAGTCCAATTTGTTCCATTCCGGGATGTACAGAGTAAGTCACCCGATAAATATCCGACTAAATAATGTATTTGTAAATATATTTCCTGTTTTGACGACTACAATTCAATCCTTCGCTTCAAAAAAAAAAATCTGCAATTTGTTAAGCGGTGATTTTTCATTGGCTTGCAGGTGGAGAAATCTCTGTTGTACAATCGCTTCTTGCCGAATTGCCTTCCCAATTTTTAGCATACATGAGAACAAGAAATATTAAACCAAGCACTTAAACTTGCAGAAACTGTACATTAGAATAATAGTTCTATGTTTTTGATTATCATGCATATTGAATTAGGCCATTTTGGAGAGCCCCATGGTGCCAATATCACCTTTGTTTTTTCTGTTTGCATTGACGCCTCTTTCGTCCTACATGGAAGGGTAGGTTTATGTACAGATACACCAAATAGGGCCTGGCAAATGGATTGTGCTATGTTTGTTTGTGGTTTGTGGAGTATCAAAATTTGTTTAACATGAAAGATGTATCGATAGTTGTGTATAGTCGGGTTTGTAATCTCTGTAATTAGGGTTGTGTCGGCAATTTATTACATGGGTTAGGAGGTTAAACTTCCAATACACCCATATCACCTAACCCAAGGTTTATCGACCTTATAGATTCAATGGTGATCTTATTTTAATCTAAAAACATTTAAAAATATACCTAGCCACCCTTCTCATGCTTAAAATCCCCTGAAACTAAGTTTGACCCAAAAGTCCATATATGCACAACTCAATCTTCATGATCAATTTTTCAACAATGATTCGAAGTTTCTATCATCTTTTTAGAAGTATTCTAATATCATGTTATTTATATTTGAATTTTGTATGGGGTCTTCCAACTTTTGATGTAGTTTGATGCATGATCTCCTCCCTTCAATTTACACTTTCGGATCTTTATCATTGTATTAGCATGACCATGAAATATGTTGAGATTTATAAAGACTTCACAAAATTAATCAATTACAAAACATGATCTAACAATAAATTATACTTTGCTCACTTATATTATGATTCTAATTTTATGTTATTATTTCAATTACTTGTTAGAGTATGGATTGAAAATTCGTGACACTTTTTATAAATCGCTAGATTTTGGATTAAAATAGAGATCACTTGTGAGCCTAGAATATTGGCGAAACTAATTTTGTTCCACATTTAATGATATATAGGCTTTTGAACCGATTGTTTATAATGGGTTCGAATAACAATTTAGAAACAAAACTAGAAATTACATTATATTCTAAAAGGAAAAAGTATATGCTTGACATTTTCTTGCATTAATAAAAGAGAAAAATTACAATTAAACCTTTGAACTATTTGCTTCTTCATATTGTATCTTAAATTATATATTTTATCATATTGCATCTGAAACTATATAATTATTCCAATCATTAACTGTTGTACATTTTATCATGGCAAACCAATAAAAAATAGAATTCCATAACATCAGGGATGTTATCTGATGATGCACAAAATGGTTTTGCACACCACCTGTCAAGTGTGAATAATAAATGCCAGAAAATTAATATCAAGAAATGAAGAGACACAGGCAATTTATAGTGGTTCGGTCAGTTCGACCTACGTCCACTCTTCAATGGCTCTGGTTGTCGGGTATTTTATTAACTCAAGGGTGTGGGGAGCAGAGAGTACAAGCTTTGAGGGAGAGGAGAGAGTAGTGTTCAGGTGATGTGTGATGCCCCAAGTGTTGGTGGCGCGTGCAATTTATAGTAGCCCCCCTTAACAGGTTGGGGCTACTTCTCAGCAACTATTTCGGTGGAGCTCACGACTTCCTCTCAACGGGTGAGGTGGTTAAGGAGCTCCCCATGAGATGCGGTCAAAGATAAGGCGAGGGTGGACCATTTCCTCTTGTGGTGCAGGTAAGGCGAGGGTGGATCATTTCCTTTTGCAGTGCAGGTAAGGCCCCCACACTCTTCCTCTTGATGACGTAGCCGAACTGATGAGACTGGACTTGAATAGTATTGGG